CTCCCACATCACTCCTAGCTCCCAGTCTTTCTGCCCAGTCTCCACATCATCAGCTCCTTTTAGATTATTCTCTCTTATAAGGACCCTGTGATGGCATTCAAGGTTCATCATGACAATCCAGGTTCCTCTGCCCATTTCAAGATCCTTTACTTAGTCACACCTTGTTCTAAAATGTTACACTTACAAGCTCTGGGATAAGGACCAGCTATCTGTGGGGACCACGATTAGCTACTGCAGCAGGTGAGGCCAATATCTCCATTTAGAGCAGGCCCAAGAGGAAACACAGTGACCTGTCTGAGGTGAAACACAAGATGCCAAGTACTAAGGAGCTGCCAGGAGAACAAAAGCCTTGACTGCAGTGGGTACCATGCTGTGAGCCTGGGAACATGAGGGAGGGGTGGTGGCGGTACACTTGTGGGACTGCTTGGTAGTGTTTCACCTGGGCTGGCGGAGATGCCCTGATCAATCAAGATGAGAGTGCTGCCACACAGGCAGATGCTCTGTGAAGATGCACCCAGCTCTGTGGCAAGGCACTGGGTCCCGGATCCTCTGGATCATGACATCATGGGAATGTGTTGCAAGAGTCGCATGAAGCTCCCTCTCTGCAGTCAGTTCACAGTTGAGATGGAGCATTATTTAGCTAGTAGTGAGCATGCAAAAGGTTACAACAGTTTCTAAAGGCCAAAATTATGGGAAAGGATTAAAAGAATGGATAAAGGTACGATCATGATATTGTGTAATGAGAGAAGGTAGTTTTTGAAGTATTGGCTCATATATTATTTTTGATGAAACCCTCCCCACTGTGATGAGAGCTCTGAGGCAGGTGTGCTAGGGCTCCAGAGCACAAGATGTTCAGAAGAAGATGTTCTTCTGAATGTGTCTCCCCAGGAGCCCATGTTTCTGCAGCTTCTCTTGGTTACCTGCAGCAGCTGGATGGTCTCTACAGGGTCTCCTAGCTCTTTGCTTGCTCCTACTATTCTGGAAATCATCACACTGCACAGGCCTGTCTTTACCTCTTACGAGATGATAATGCTGAGGTAGAGGGTGTTATTCACCATGGACATGAAGGGGGTTGGGCAGAGGGAGGCGGGCAGCTCAGCTGAGCCTAAGAGGGGTCAGCCAGGATCCCAGGCTCGGAGACTACCTGGCTTGGGTGTAAAGCACTGCTGTTCTGCATCTGGCTTTGTGAGAGTCCAGTCAGACTGAGTTTCAGTCTCTGATGTACATGGTGTGATGAGAAGGCCCAACTGAGAACAGTTGCAATCAACAGGATGAAACATGGAACATGTACCACATGCTCCCAGTGGTTGTATCTGAGTTGTGTGATAACTTGAACTTTTCTGTATTCCTTAATGTATGTACAATGAGGTCACATACTTAAAAACAAACAAACAAAAGCTCCATAAAAACCCAATAATGCTGATTTAAGGGGGAAAAGCAAGAAAGTGCAACTGAGGGTACGACCTTAGGATAAAGCTGCAGGAACAGTGAGCCACAGATGTCTTCCTAATAGCAAGAGCTACCGTTCCCAAGCCTGGCCCCTCATAGACATGACCGGGTTCCTCTCACCATAAGACCACAAAGCAGGCATTGCTGAAGTTTGAATTTTATAGTTGAGTAAATCAAGGCACACATCAAGTGAGGGCATTTGTCTAAGGCCACACATCCAGGGTTTGCCTCTGGACTGGACAGTCCAGGGCTTGCTGACTGAGCACCTTACTTTTCCTTCCTGCCCATCCATCTCTGGAATGGAGGCATGCCATCCCTTTACTGCCACCTTAGGAGGTTGCAGGGACCCCAATCAAGGCTGAATGCTTCTGGGAGGATCTACATGCCAACTGGGAAATACCTGGCCTGGCAGCTGAAGAAACTACAACGCGTGCATATACCGTGGAAGGTTGACCCTGAGGGTAGAGAGAGAATGAGATCATTTTTGATGACCTTGATTTTTTGATCCTCCTGCCTCTACTTACTGAGTGCTGGGATACTAGCTATGAGCCACCACACCTGGTTTATTGAGTGTTGGGGACTAAACCTAGGTCTTCATGCATGCTAGGAAGAAGACTATCAATGGCGCTACGTCCTTAGTTCTGTCTCTTGGACTGTGAATCAAGACGGCTGCTGGGCCCCACATTCTCTGTGCATCTTAATTTCTCAAATGGAAAGTAGGTGGGTAAAGACGTCCTCTAGGAACAATAAAAATAGATTGCTATTCTGTGGGGAAAAAAAAAAAAAGATGGAGTTTTGTCTTGTCCTTTCCTAGGCCCTCTAACTCTGGTATTTTTATCCTCCTCAAAATAACCATTTAAAGGGTACCTGCAAGCCACAGTGTTGGCCTTTCTCAGGAGAGGTTGGCTTTGTGCTCTGCAGGTGTCACCATTAGCATTTGGGAAGAGATAGCTGTGTGTGCTCAGGCAGATTTAAGGTAGGCCCCTGGGAAGACTGAATGCACGAGAAGGCCCACAAGTACCTCTCAGATCAAGAGCATCATGCACCCTGAGACTCTATACCTCCAGGGCCCCTTCGCTGGGCGGGTGGTGACTCACCAGGTGGCTCCTCCTGGCTTTTTGATGGTCACTGATGTGGCCCATCAGGAGAGCTTCATGGCTTCACTTGGACACTTTGTCCAAGTACCAAAAAGAAGCTGACTTAAAAAATATATATATTTTATCCTTAATTGACATGTAGTTATGGTGCATATTTACGGGATGCAGTGGGACCTTCAATGCATACAGACTGTGGTAATGACTGGCCTATGCAGCACTGCACTCATTTGTCATTTCTTTGTGTTGGAGACATTCAAAATCCTCTGTACTTACTTTGAAATTATTAGTTGCTGTCACTCATAGCTATCTTATCATACCATAGAACATTAAAGTTATTTATTATAGTCAGCTGTGCCTTTTGAACACTTTTCTTCCATTTCCACCCTCTTCAGGCTCTTGTGATAACTATTTTATTTTCATTTAGAGTGTGTGTGTGTGTGTGTGTGTGTGTGTGTGTGTATCTTTCAAAGGCACATGACAGGCACAAAAAGAAAAAGATAAAAGAAGAAAAAAAGACTTGAAAATCCAAATCTAGGACAGGGGTGATGGCTCAGTGAGTGACGTGTTTGCTGCACCAGGCTGAGGACCGGGGTTCAGATCCCCAGCACTCATGTCAACGCTGGGCAAGCATGGTGCCTCCCTTTGATCTTAGCGATGGAAGACAGAGACGGGAATCCCAGAGCAGGCTGGCTGGCTAGAATAGCCAAAGTGGCAAGCTGTGGTTTCAAGCAAGAAACTCTGCCTCAATATATAAGGTGCATAATGACTGAGAAAGGCATCTGATGACAACTTTTGGTCTTCACATGCACACACATGTTCACATACACCTGTACACATACACACACACACACCAGAGCCATGTGTATCCTCTGTTTTAGACATGTTCCGTGGGCTCCTCCACAGAATGGTGGTGCTGCATTCTTGTAATTTTGAGGGGAACAGGAAGGGACAGAATCTCAGGCAGATACCCATTTGGGATAAATAGAAAAAGGCAGAAGGTCAGGAGTCCTGAAAGAAAAGGCACATTGGGTACCATCTGCCCCAAGAATACTAAATGGTTTCCATTTCTCACATCAACTCCAGGTCCAACTGATAAGCAGCTGCTCAGATGCTTGTGCGGACAGCACTGAGGCTGACTGTGAGCCCGAGGCTGACTGTGCGCCTGACTAGGAGCACTGTTCTAGATTCCTCAGATGCTAGAACAAATTATCATAATCACGGTGGCTCAAAATGACAGACTGTATTCTCTCACGGTTCTGGAGATCAGAAGCCTGACAGCAACGTGCTACAAGCCCATGCTCCCTCCACGGCTCCAGGGGAGGCCCTTGCCTTTCCTCGCTCCTGCTGCTCTATGGCTTATGGCTCATCGTTCCCATCCCTGTCTCTGTCTCCACATGGCCTCCACCCTTATGTGTCTCTCTGTGTGCAGACCCTCCTCTTCTTTCTCTCATAAAGACTTCAGTCAATGGCTTTAAATCCAGGATGATTTTGTTGAGATCTTTAATTACCATCTGTAAAGACTCTGGTTCTAAATAACATACATTCTGAGGTTCTGGGTGGATATGTATGTGGGGGAAGCTACTGTTCAACCTGGTACAAGGACTATAATGTTGGTCAATCATGACAAGGGCTCAGGTCTGTTTCCCCTGTTGTCCCAAGCTGGCTCATAGGTTTATAGATGATAGAACTGGGATTTAGACAATAAAAGGATCTTAACTAGAGCCCAATCTTTACCTAGGGGTCAAATAACGAGGAGTACCAGAAATGAAAAAAGAAGGAAGAAGAGAAGGTGGAGCAGGGGGTAGGATAGAGCGGGAGAGGATGGGGGATGAATTTACAGGACATATTTGGATTTAAAACCACTGCCCTCAGATCTAGATGGGGTTAACAAAAAGTTCACTAGTCAGGTCAGGTAGATGGCTCAGTCAACAAGGCCTTTGCCTCACAAGTGTGAGGACCTGAATTCAATTCCCAGAACCCATGTAAAAAAGACAGGCATGGTGGTGTGCACTTGTAATCCCAGTGCTGACAAAGCTTGCTGGGAAGTTAGCCTAGTGTACTTGGTGACGTTCCAGCCAATGAGAGACCATGTATCAAACAAAAAGTAGAAGGCACTGAAGGAATGACACCCAAGGTTATCCTCTGACCTCCACATGCATGGATACAATGTGTACACATGCATCCACACATACAGGTGGTGCCTAGAGACACACACACACACACACACACACACACACACACACACAGAGAGAGAGAGAGAGAGAGAGAGAGAGAATGATCATAAACTAACTACAAAGAAAATACTTGATCACTGAAAGAATTGTACCATCCTAGGGATCAATGAGCAGGATATTGCCCTTTTGTGGCCGAAGAAACCAAAGATCCTCTCTGTGCAAAAGCCTTCCCAGACCGGTCCCTGAAAGCATCATGCGTAGATGCCTGCTGGTTGCCATGGTGAATGATGCTGATCTGAAGAAATGAATAATGTGAACGTTGGGGGCGACAGTGGGATTACTCAGTGGCGAGAGAGATATCAAGGAGAGCCCAGTGCGGAGGAGGGAGAAGCACCTTTCTCTCATCGTTGGTCCACTCTGTCTTGGAGGGGAGAGGTCTGACTAGATTCACTGCAGGCATCAGGTAAGAGACGTGGATGGCTTGTCTTGGAAATGGCTTTTCCTTTCACACTTTGCTTGCCAGAAGGGCCAGGAAGTCAGAATTGGATAGTTAAAAATAGGGACAATTTAGAAACAGAAGAGAGGAAGAAAAATAAATATGGGGAGGGGGTGGATTTGCCCCTTGAAGCTGAAGATATTGACATCCAGAGAGGAAGCTCTTAAAAAATGTCTACTTCAGGGAACTCAGGCTGTAAAAACAGCCAGCGGTAGAGAGGAGGCAAACAGAAAAGGCAAGTGTGTGTGTGAACAGGAGTCCCAATTCCCCAAGTGGGAGGGTTTTACAGAGCTCGGTGCCCATGGGTTACAGGGAGTGAATTCCTCTCCTTTCACAGGGGTCAGAAATGTGTCTGCTGCATGTGTGGGTCCCTGGGGTGGTGAGGGTGAACATGTGTGAGGAGACCAGGATGTGCACAAACCTGTCTCCTTTCCAGCTACCTTCCATGAAGGGTTTGCTCACATCTGTCTCATCCTTTTCATTTCCGATTTAATGGGAAGAAATTCCCAGCCAAATGGAAAGGAACTAGCCTCCGTCCCAAGCATGTCCCTGCCATCTTTAAAGAAGAAGATCGGGCACTGAGAAAGTACTTAATGCTGTCCATCTTTCTACAGTCCTCTTCCCCTAGCAACATACGCACAAAAATGAAAGAGAGAGAGAGAGAGAGAGAGAGAGAGAGAGAGATCAGTTTGGTTTAATATTCACTTTGGGTTCAAGTCTGATGGATGGCTTTTTTACTAGGCCATTTCAATTTGAAATGAAATCTGTGTTTCCTGCCAGAAAGCAGGGGTTGGGGGATGTTTATGCCGCACACATGGGTTAGCTAGACTTGTTTCTAGATTTTTGATCAGAGGAAATTCAGAGGCAAATTCTTTCTCTCTCAGAATGAAGCCTTGAAGACGGCTCCCTCTTACCAGAGCAGAAAGGTTGGCACTCTGAACAAGGCTCATCTGACTTGTCTGGTCTTGTCTGGTCACACAGTAATCAGGGTTTATTGCCGGCACCTCATTTTGCAGTAACATACTGCCACTAAACACAGAGGCCTTGAGTTTGGACACACAAGGCTAAGCAGCTGAGACCTCTTTCTATCTACTAGCTAGGAGGTCAGGTTGCTCATCTATGAAATGGGAATTGAGTTCTGAGGGTGTGATGAAGGAAGGGAATCTATTAATTCACAAGAAGTCATCTAGTGCAGCCTGGACATAGGAAACACTCACTTGCCGTGGATGGTTACTGACATTAGGAAATGCATAAGTACCAGGAGTATCGGGTAGTGACAGTTATGCTTCTGAGCTGTCGACCTTGACCTATGAAACTAATTCCCTGGTACCTTGGGCTTTGACAAAACAAGACATGAGTAGAAGTTCCAGGGTGGACTCAGTGCTGGAATGACAGAGTCTCTACTGGCCCTGGGCACCTTGGCTGAACGTCTGAAAGAACCCACTGGGCAGAATGCTCTAAATAACAGCTCACAGCATCCAGAGCACAGGCAGGAGGTCAGGAAGCGGCTGACTGAAAGTCACAGGTCTGAAGTGCCAGGATGGAGGGCTTCTGAGATTCTACCGATTTCCCTTCTCGTTGCCTCTTCTCTCCTTTTTCAAGAGCCAAGATCAATGCTGCATGAAAGGATTTCAGCCCGGATAGGGTATGGCTAGGATAGGGTGTGAATGGTCCATTTTAGTCATGCCTGAGGGCGTCAAGCTTTGTGATGAGACAGTCCCCCTTCCCACTTACTTATTTTTTTGTTGACTTAAGAAGCTTAACCTCTGGGCTGCTATTTCTTTGTCTGTAAAACTAGATCAATGTTTGTGGGCATCTTATAGGCTCAGTCTGTGGTAGCTAGGACTATGTTAAGTAAATACTGAAGGAGAGGGATGTCACTTTTCACTATCCTTTGGTTCCAGAACCGGGATGAACATCGAGGTCGGAAACGTGTCTTACACGGGAGCCATCATCTCCTGGTCATCCTCAGAGCCTTGCCTGGAGGACTACTACCATATTATGTACAGGCCCAACTGGAATAGCATCTTCTCTGGGTATCTGCGCTACAGCTTTCACCACGAGGAGAAGGTGCCTCGAAGCGTCAGCTCGGTGGTGTTGGAACACCTTGCCCCTTCCACGCTCTACTTTCTCTGCATCAGCTGCAAGAAGGCTGCCTTCCCATACAGGCACTACTGCACCATGTTCCACACCCTGGATAAGAGTCCACTGGCTGCAGGGGGCTCCCTGGTGGACCCCCAAATTTCCCTCTGGGTGCTGATGGCCATCCTGCTGGCTTGTTTCACAGCTGTCCTGGCCTTCATCTGCCTCCAGTTCTGGTGCATTCGCTGTCATGAACCTCGATGGTCTTACAGAGCTGGCCACATGGAGGAAGCCAATGGGCTGGTGAGATGGCCCGAGGATGCCCCAGCTCTTGGTCAGAGGGAGGAAGACCTGCAGGGGCTCCCCCTGGTGGAACTGCCTCGCAAGAACTCTGGAGCTGGAGCTGAACCTGAAGCCCAAGCCTTCCAGGATGCTCCAGATGTGGAAGTCTTGGCCAGAGAAGGTGGTGACCAACCAGCCATACTGCCTCACTACAAGGAATGAGTGGTGGGGAGGAGATGGCCTACTTCAAATAGCCTGATGCCTTTACACAGTAGGCCTTTTGTAGAAATGTGTCTATAGACTACTGCTTTCTCTCTCCTCAAATGTCAGTGTTGTGTGGATCAGAGGGGTTGGATGGATGCCTAATGACAATGTTCTTCATGACAATGTTCTTCATGTTGGAGCTGCCCCGGCCCCCAGGTATGCCAGGGACAAATAAGGCCCAGTTAAGAACTGAAGACATTATTTTAATATTAAATCAATCATGGGTATATTACAAAGTAAAGAGTAAAAGTTGTGTGACGTAAATCATTCCCAGTAGTTGAAGGAAATGCTGAGTCAAGCCATGCTTTCAGTCATTCTTCCAGAAAAACGTGAAAAGCCTTGTTTCAACTCTCAGACAATCAAATGGCACCCTAGACCCTGGGCTCATTTTTTTTTAAGCCATAGACTACTTTTGTCACAATTGACAACATTTTTTATTTAAGTTAACCCCCTTTAAAAACTCAGACTCATTTAAAAAAGACAACTTTGTATTATTCCAAAAACAAAAATCCATCACCTCTTTCTATAAACAGAAGGGAACAGATGTAAGAAAAAATACAACGAAAGCAAAATAACATTAAATTTGACAACTACTTTTGCTTTCCAATGACTCTGGCTTAAGGCCTGCTTCCTTGGACTTGACAGAGAGACAGACCAGCCAGTGTCGAAGAGACTCATATTGGCACCAAAATACATCTTCTTACTTCATATATCATTATGGTTTGAAAGATAATTGAAAAAGGAAGCATGGTTGCTTGTGTGTGAACCATGTCTGTGAGCCACCTCAAATGCTGTCTGCAATTCTCTCTCTCTCTCTCTCTCTCTCTCTCTCTCTCTCTCTCCCTCCCTCCCTCCCTCTTTCATTTTTTTTTTTGCGGGGGAGGCAGTCTCACTATATGGCCCTGGCTGTCCTGGAACTTGCCATGTTGACCAGGATGTCCTCAGCAATCCTCCTGCCTCTGCTTCTCCAGTGTTGGGATTATAGGTGTGCCCTACCACACTTGGCTTGCAAGCGTCTCTTGATTTGAGAAGACTGCCTTTAGCAAGTTGGTCCCTTGGGAGAAGAAACCCGATTCCCCAGCATCCTCCTAAAACCTCACAAGTGCCCCATTAGGTGCAAGTCTAGAACTCTTCTAGGTCCATCAACTTCCAAATCTAGAGCCTCTTGACCTCGCACCACTGTGTATGCCTGTCTCTGCTTACTTTCAAAAATTGAAATCAAAGGTGACTGTTTTTCTTTTATCAGAAAGAAAAGAATTGGCTTCTTTTTTGGTTGGTCACAGGCTTCATCCTCTTGGTGGCATTCTTTATTGCCCCCATATGAGCCCCTGTGATAAGAAACAAGTTTGCAAACAACACGGCATTGGTGGGACTTGGTGAAAACCGTTCCCCTACCACACATGTGGAGATGGAGGTTCGGGCAGGTGGAGATCATGTCTGCTTCACCTCTAATGTGCCCTCAGCAATGTACAATGTAGTCCATATCTGGGCTACAGGAGGTATATACAAAATGTCATTGAATTGCTAGAATTCAATTGCTAGAATAGAAAGATCAGAGATAGAACAGGCACTCTGTGAGGGAATTAGTTGGAGTCAGGATGTTCTCATGTGAGCAAAAGCCACAATGTTGTAGGAGGAGACCCTTTCCAGCCACCTTGACTTCCTTCAAGCTCTATGTGCAAATCCCTTATATTTACAGAGCACAAAATCCCAGAATCACTAGATGACACTGCGACAAATCAACTGAGAAATGAGACGAGCTCGAAAGCCACAAGAAGATGCGCACACCCACTTCCGCATCTACCCAAGCTCACTGTTCACCTCAGCCCCCAGCCAGCTCCCAGCCACCCAGCTCTGTCCACCCCATCCCTGCTAGCTGTGAACAAATAAAGATGGTTGTGCTTGCAGCTGTTTCTGCCTGGGTCTCATTGTGCCTCTTGAGCAACACACCTTCTGGCTCTCCTGATTCTGGGAACACTTTTCTATTTGCCTTTCTCACTAACCCTGACACAGGCAGAACAGGGAGGACTAATTACCTTGGATCCATAGAGGTAATAAGGCTGGACATTGGCGGGTTTATCTCGTTGTGGTTCTTGGGTAAAAGGGATGGCAGTTCGGACAAAACTAGAGAAAAGAGATGGGAAAGTAGTTAATTGGGTTCTAATGGTTCCCTTCCTGGGACAGAAGACAACAGAAGCTCCTCCTTGCTGACGAGGCAAAGGTTTACATTGGTACAACTGTACCACATCCTGGAAGGTTGCCTACAGAGGTACTAAACTAGTCAGATATCATCCCATTTGAGTACTGTCTTCATTCTATTAACTTGGAATCCAGTAGGCAAAAAAGTCAGGATGTGCTAGGTCTGAAAATGGTCTTCTCTGGGGCTCCATTGGTCACCTCCTGTTGGTTTCAAGATCTGAGTTCAGTAAACTCTTTCTGTAAAGGGAGGGACTAAGACTACTTCAGTTTTGCAAGCCAGATATTTCTGGCACAAGTGTTCAGCTCAGCCGCTCAGCATGAAAACATCGTAGACAGCAGCACCCGGATAAACATGGCTGGGTTCCAATAAAACTGGTTTAAATCATTTCCCATCATAAACAATGCTCTTCTCTGGTTTTTCTCACAACCATCCAAAGATGGCAACTCCAGGCTGGGCAGAAGGCTCGGCGGTTAGCACCCACTATTCAGGTGTGTGTGGGGGAGCTGGGATCCCCAGGATGGCAGGTGGTGGCTTGCTTATAATTCCTGCTTCAGAAGGTGGACTCAGGATCCCCTGAGGAGGCTGGCTAGGCAAACTAGCCATGTAGGTGAGCTCTGGGCTTCGCTGAGAGACACTGCCTCAATGAAAAAAGTAGGAGAGCAACAGCAATGGAGGGTGATCTTCAGTGTCAACCCCAGGCCTTACTTGGGCACACATGTGCATATACATCAGCACACACATGCACACATACATGCACATACACACACACCAAACACACACATATGAAAATGGGAAAAAAAGATGGCAACATCATTCTCAGCACATGGGCTGTTCATGGCATGTCTCAGTTCATACACTGTCATCATGGCTGGCAATTCGATGGGGCCCATAGCTTGTGGCCAGGCTGCAATCTGTTGCCCCAATTAAATGTCCTTTAAGGTCAAATCTTTACATAGCTGAGCATGTCTTGTTCAATATGCAGATTCAGTACATCTATGGGGTCTTCCCATACCTTCCATTCATCCAACATGGATCCAGGCTCAGAGGAAACCTCCACCTACATGCATTCTCAATCATCCTTTTATTGTTTATCATTTTTTGTTTTTCCAAGACAGGGTATCCCTAAAGGCCCAGCTAGCTTAGAACTCACTACGTAGAAGAGTGGCCTCAGTCTCACAGAGATCCACCTGCCTCTGCCTCCTGAATGCTGGGATTAAAGGTGTGTGTCCCTACCTCTGGCTCTTGTTCATCCTTCTGTACTTGACTGGTATATGAATACAGGTTATAAAACTGCTGGGGAAAAGGGGGTAAGTCTTGTCTTTGCCTCAGGGCCTGGCCAGAGCTGTGTGCTCCTTGCTGGAGGCACATTCTACTCTGCCATGCCTGTGAGTACTCTGGAAACATATGCCTGTTTTACACATATATTCAGATATGTGGACATACCATGCAACCACAGCACTGTCTTTCTCCAGACCCTTCCAGTGTCATCTATGAAGCACACAGTCTACTCCTGTTAATGCTTCATGTCTCTACTGCCAGCTCCCCCAGTGCCACCCTCATCACCAACCTCAGTTCCTTGGAAACTGTGATGACTTATCCTGGTGCTTCCCTTGCCCTTCCTACTGCTATGCCTCTCACCTCCAGCATCACTTGCTCAAGGAAGAAGCCTTCTTTGAGATGTGCATCACTTCCTGGACTGGGCTAAGCAGCATTTGAAGGCACCAAGAGGCAGGATTGTGTTTGCTTGCTCACCCTGGCATCCTCACCTCTAGCACAGAGCCTGTATCCAGGAGGGGCTCCAGGAAACACTTGTCATAGGAATGAACAGACACTGCTTGGCCTGGTTTGAAGGAAGCAGCTGGTCATGACCTCGTCCCCTGCCCAGCCCCCTTTGCAGAGAGATTCCCTTACCGGTTTGTGGACCCGTTATAGCAGTAGTTGGGGAGGAAGTCAAAGTTCAGCTCCCAGAAGACATGTAGGGTGATGCGGCCATAAGGGGCAGACACATTGTGATTGGCTTCCCGGAACATGGCATCGAAGCTATCCAGCGTCATGTGCTTGCAAAGCAGTCGATGTGTGAGCCGGTTAATCTCCAGCAGCCACTCCAGCTCCTGCCGGACAGAAGGCATGGCTGCAAAGACTTTCAGGTAATCCTCCCCCTCTCCCTCCCCTTCTCTTTCTCTATCTCTCTCTTACAGACTCCTTACAAGCAGGAGGGACAACCTCTTGACCTCCTACATGAAGACTAAGAAGGCACTGATACTGACACGGGGCAGTGTTCCCTTCTGAGAAGTGGAAGGAATCACCAGGCTATGCTGGGGATAAGGCAGGGACAGAGGGGGGACATGCCTGCCGCTGGGGAGGAGACTACTGACCACATGCAAATCCCATTTAATGCCCTTTGGGTAGAAAGCATCTTGCATGCTTCCCAGCTCTACAGTGGTGAGGAAGAAGCCTGTTCCTCAGAGTTCCAAGACAAGTATTGATTAGATCTCACTAGAGGTGATTTCTCTGCCCCTTTGAAAGCATCAAATAGGAGCTGCCACCTAGTTAGGGCTAATTATTAGGTTAAAACATATAATATTTCTGTTTTTTAAAATCAAATGCTATTAAAGTTCAGCAATTTTATATGGTTTGACCTAAATAGTATTTTCTAATTTTATATGTTAACTCTTTTAATGCTCATCAAGGCCCTGTGAGGTCAATATTGCTGCAGTCCTCACACATATGGAAATTGAGGCTTTGAGAAGTTGGGTAACTTGGTTTCAAATCCAGGAACTGGGCTCCAAGTACACATTCTTCAGGACTATAAAATGACTGTGGGAACTTTTAAAGGAGGCAGGGTCAGAATGCCTCCTCTTTTGAACTGCAGGTCCTTGAGTCACACTGGAGTTGGCAAGGTGCTTATAGTCTGTACTCAGTCCCAATGACCAGGGACCTGATAGTCTGGAATCCCACCTTAAAGCAGAGGGTGAGAACAGAGCTGGTGTCTGCACACAGTGGGATGCTGCGTTTGTTGGGAAATAAAAGGAGAATGAAACCCTTTTGGTTTGCTTTGGTTTCCTGCAGTCCTGTAAGTTTTCAGTCCACTGTTGAAAAGAACCAAAGTCCATTCAGACAGAGAAGAAAGCCCAAGTCCTGGGGCACCTGAGGCCACTCTGAAAATGCTTTGGTTAAGCCAGTGCTATAGATAGGTACAACTCTTCCTGTTTTAGAAGGTCAAGCAACCTGCCCAGGGTAACATACAGAATGCAGAAAAAAGCAATATGGGTTTTTGGATTCCAAATCATGAGTTCTTGGCCTCTGCAATACAGCTGCCTGGAAAGATGCAGGAGGTGCAAAGGTCCTTGAAAGGTGACTCTGATATAAAGTCTGTCTTCATATTCCTACAGTCATGCTGAGATGGCAGGGTCAGCTTTATCAGAAGGGACAGTGAGCTCAGTGAATCACAGGACACAGGGATGGGCTCCATCCTCATCAGTCACAAGACCCCTGGAACTGATAGAAGTCTGCTTCAGTGGGGTGGACCCCTCAGCCCAAGCTTCCAACCTTGCAGCTCAGCCACTCTCGAACTCAGAAGTGCAGATCACAATGGAAAACACTGAGGGCTATGGGGCCAGGCAGGCCAGGCATGAATGGGAAACTAACTGGGGTGGGGAAGGAGTCTTGTGGGGGGCATCTATTGGCGGAGACCCTCGTCGTACACATCTGGGCTTGGTGCTTTGACACTGCTGCCATGCTAGAATGGCGGGTGACGGCATGCTTGGAATGTTCCAAAAGAATGCTGAAACTTGGATTTCACCTGCGGAGTGGCCCTAGTCTCTGTACCATGAAGTAAATGAAGAGCAGAAATAGATGTGGCCCTCTGCTTCCATCTCTTGGGGCTAAGCTGGCTCCACTGAGTCTTTGTTGAGGATGGGTAATAAGGCAGATAAATAATAAATGGCAAGCGCCATGGAGTTCATTTCCAAGATCACCGAGTGCTCTTAGCACACAGTGGTGCCCTGTCTCAGGGAAGATAATGAGGAACTGGGGAACAATTTCTGTTCTATTGTTTTGTGATTTTAAGTTCATAAATGTGCATTAGTGTTTTCCGTGGCTTGGGGAGGGGATGAAGGAGAGCACTCTCGGCTCTGCTGTGCAGCTGCTGTCACTGTCGAGCCACTTCTTTCTTAGGCTATACAACCCACACTGTCGTTCTGCAGCACATTTACTGCTCTTCTGGTCTTCAAATAAGAAGAGGGGATTTGACTGGTGGAGACAGAGTCCTGGATGCTAAGGACTTTAGAAAAAGTTGAAAAGGTCACAGGAGTGACTTCGGTGCCTTTCCAGAGGATCTGAGATTATGACAGTAAAGCTGGTTTATCAAGCAGTACCATGAAGGCAAAATGGGAAAATAAAACAGCCGAATGGGCAACTTCAAAGAAGAAGAGCACAGAGCCAAAGGGGAAATGAGGAGGAGTGCTAGCCACACCTGAGCAACCACAGCTCTCTGAGAGGTTGGAGAGATGAGAGCAGCACTCCCAGCTCCAGCACAGCAAGCCAGCGGGCCTGTGGGGCTGACAGATGGAGAGAGCTGGACTCATCTGAGGGAATGTGTAATCATAGCCTGGCAACTGCTGCCATCTGGGAATGCCATTCTGGCATTGTCTGAGCTCCTGAAATCTTACTTGCATTTTTCCAAATGTTATATGTTGCTTCAAAATTTCAAGCACACCATGCAGCCAAAGCAAAACACAGCCCACGGGCTGCCAATCTGTGGCTTCTACATCAGATCCCAGTAAGACTCTTTCATCAGCATACTTGCAGAGTGGAGGTGACTGACTCCCCAAGTCTCTGCAACCTCTGTCAGCTCACCAGTAGCTTCTCATTTCAGAGCAGAGTGCTGAAGGTAGGTACATTTCTCAGTTCATTTTTTTCGAGTGCCAGGAGGCAGATGCTACTCAGCCAAAGCCCTCAGGGACTTGCTGACCTCCCCCCCAGGAGAAAGCTTCCCTGGGGCTCCTCCCGAGGCTTCCCAGGAAGAGGGTGTTCTGGTGGAGACTGCTGCCTCATCTGATAAGCAAAGGCTGCATGTTTTGATTTTGTTCTAACCAAGAGAACATTCCATGTCTTCGAGGGAATTGGAAGAGGCCATGGACACCTGCACTCCAGATATGCTCATTAGTGGAGAACCAGAGTACAGAGATAAACAAGAAAAACCAAACCCCCACCTCTTAGGGATAAGCATTGCCAGCATTTTGACATGAATGAAACAAAACTATATTTCCCAAACTAGAAATGACCAAATGATTTCCACCAAAACATAGGCTATTTCTACAGTCTCTTGTTGAAAGTGACCCATGACTTTGGTGAGTGGTTGGGACAATTCCTGCTAAGAGATGTTGTAGAAAATTTCCCCAAAGAATACTGAAGCCCCATAGCTATTTTTCTCTCATTTTTTGATTTATTTTTCTTTCATGTGTATGAGTGTTTTGCTTGTATATATGTAAGTGCACCCATGCATTCAATGCCCACAAAGGCCAGAGGAGGGCATCAGATCCCCTGGAACTGGAGTTACAGACAGTTGTTAGCCGCCATGTAGGTGCAGGGAATTGAACCCAGCTCCTCTGCAAGAGCAGCCAGTGCTCTTAACCACTGAGCAATCTCTCCAGTCCTATCATCTTTATTTTTTTTAAAGATGCTTATTATATATGATTATTTAATTTTTACTAAATACCTATATGAAATACTTTTCCGGTAGGTTCCCACTGCACTCTTCCAATGACCCTCAAATGTGACCTCTAATCTTTCCTCCATTTTAGAGATGAGGAAACAGGATTGGAGAAGATTTACAATTTGCCCAAGATCAGAAAGCTAGTAACTGTCAAGGGCCAGACTGGACACTAATCCTGTCCGAGTGTGGGGTCCCAGTTCAATGAAGTTTATGCTACCTGCTGGAGAAAGAGGTGACAGAAAACAGTCCAGTCGCTGTTTTCTAGAAGGGGACAGATTTGTTCTCTGCCTGTGCACTAACAGGACAGGCTATGAATTCTGTGTGGCACAGTGCAGAATGAAACTGTGGGGGATCTTTCAAAAGTCATTCATTGTTTCAAGATGGAGATATAACAGAGCAATTGACTGAGAGTCCTTCCACACCCCTGATTACACACCCCTGAAGTGTGCTTGTTGTACCATCTCTAGCTTCTTGGGACCACTTGCCTACTTGCCAAGGACACAAGCCCAGCTTCAGGGGTGGTCACCTCTGGAGTTCTCAAGGAAATCCTCTTCCACTCCCAACCCTTGGCTGCCAGTCCACTGGCGGGTGAGATCATTCCCATTCTACTGAAGTCTTTTTCCCAGCTGCTCTTTTCAGGTGCGAAATAAATGAACTCCTTATCTTGAAGAGCTCCTTATCAAGAAAGCTAAGAACAATCCCCAGGCTTCTGTCTGAGGCAACCCAGAGTACCAAGCCTGCTGGCCCCCCGTGCCTTACCACAATGGAGGTCAGGTCCTCACTCTCAAAGCGACTGATGGCCTGGTCCAAGGATTTGTACATGGCGGCAGAAATGCGCTGAGTAATGAGTCTGTTCAAGTCAATTGATCTTCCCAACAGCTGGGGGGGGGAGAGAGAGAGAGAGAGGGAGGGAGAGAGAGAGAGAGAGAGAGAGAGAGAGAGAGAGAGAGAGAGAGGAAGAAGAAGAAGAAGAAGAAGAAGAAGAAGAAGAAGAAGAAGAAGAAGAAGAAGAAGAAGAAGAAGAAGAAGAAGAGGAGGAAGAAGAAGAAGAGAGGCTTAAGATCTACACAGACAACTGGCAACTGGGAGGAAGAGGAGAAGAAGAAGAAGAAGAAGAAGAAGAAGAAGAAGAAGAAGAAGAAGAGAGGCTTAAGATCTACACAGACAACTGGCAACTAAATGCAATGCAATGCATTAGTAAGAATTTGTATTAAAACCAGAGAGCATCACTGGGATAAAGGATGACTGTGGAAAAAGCATTTGGAAATCTCCCGAGTATGGTAATTCTGATTAGATTTTATTTTATTTTATCTTGCTTTATGGATTCGGGAAATCTAAACTCGGTCTTCACGCTTGTATGGGAAAGGCTTTACCCTCTGAGTCATTTCCCCAGCCCCTCTATTTTGATTATATACATACATATAAAATGTGTCTCCTTGGGAAATACGATAGCTGCAATTACTCTTGAATATATGAGAGAAAATGTAGCATATTAATACGTGCACATATATACATGCTTACACTCATTATAATGTGTGAGAGAGAAAACACATTTGTGAGAAAGAGAGAGGGAACGGAACATGGTGAAACACTCATCACCATGAATCTGGCTGCAGGGAATGAATGTGTATTGTATTACTCTTCTGACTCTGCTGAAGGCTTGACAAAAAGCCGAGGTAAAGACATTCATTCAGGCCTTGGGAAGAGGCTTGGGGTGAGCTCTGGTGACTGGCAAATGTTTCTGCTGACATCCTCATTCAGTGCTGAGGTTTGATCAGCTCAGTCTCCAGAGGACAACAACCACTCTGGCAAAGGCCTCCTTTGAGCCTTCATAGGCATGAACTTAAAAGCAAGAAGATGAAGGACTGATCACAGGATGGAAAACATAGCTTAGGATAATTTCCCCTGGGAGCCACATGGGTATTATTGTAGGAGCTATGAAGACACAGTAACCATTTATTGAGTACCTGCTGTGTGCACTGCACACAGTAGGATAAATTTCCTACTAGCTAATTAGGGCTCTATAATGTGGTCTCATGTACACATTAAGTGCTGTTAAAAGGATTTAATATCCTGTGGCTAATTCTGGCTGTATTATAATTGGTAACAGTAATCTATGGAGGTCCTAGGTTTCCACGGGTGACTGTGTTTTTCTCTCCTGTGAGTCACCATTGGCAATGAATTTCTCTCAGTGATGGAGTATCTGGGGAGTCTGAGGTAGACTCTTTACTGCTCACCTCAGCATCTTCTAGGCCTTAGCTCTCACAGATCACTTGGGTGCTTCACAGAGGCCAAGGACCATACAATAACCGCACAGAGGTTACAGCACATGGGCCATTTTACCATCAGTGTGGCCATCAGCAAGCTGGGCTGGGGTCTGTGGGGGCATCTGTTATGGAATCCATCTAGTTCAAATGAGCATTTTAAAACATGGATACGTGTCCTAGTCCCAGCAGTGTTTTCTCTACATCTGGGGTCAAATGTTAACAGAACACTGCATGAAACAAGCCAGTTTCTACTCCAGGTTCATTTAAAGGGGCTGCAGCCTTTCACTATGCCACGCTCTAGGTCCTGTTCAGAGGTGAATCTACTCATTTGGTGGCAGTGCCAATGGAAAAGGAATTGCAGCTTGGGATGGCAGGTCACGGTGGTCACTCCTTGTCAAAGGCAGGCTGGAGATAAGTCAAGAAACATAAAACTTGTACCAGATCAAGCTCTCTGCTATTAGGAACATTCTGAGGCTGTTACACTGGATTCAGGCACTCGGGGCAGAAAGGAGAATCCACACTACCTTCATGGAGTTCCTCCTCCCCATTCCTCAACACTGTGGCTTTCTCCCACCATACCTGGACATGCCTCTGCTTCAGCAGTGTCTCATAGCGGTTGGATGGTGGGTATGGAATGATCACTCCATAGTTCTTACACTCAGCTCTAAAACGTTTATCCAACAGGACACTGGAAGGGATCAAGACAAAACATGACAGTGAATGCTTTTCAACAGCCCAGCCACAACTATGCCAGACCATAGGCTTTACACAGGATACATGATCTTTGGTTTTTTTGTTTTGTCTTTTTGAGACAGGGTCTCCCTGCAGTCCCAGCTGGCCTGGAACTCACTGTGTAGACCTTGATCTCACAGAAATCCACCTGCCTCTGCCTCTGTAGTACTGGGATTAAAGGCATGCGCTATGTAGAGAAAGCTTGGGTGAGAAACTAAATATTCTCAGATAAACCTTGACTATATATATATTTTATTCCTTAAACTGGTTGACTAAATTTTTTTTTGTCTTTTTGAGACAGGGTCTCCCTGCAGTCCCAGCTGGCCTGGAACTCACTGTGTAGACCTTGATCTCACAGAAATCCACCTGCCTCTGCCTCTGTAGTACTGGGATTAAAGGCATGCGCCACCACACCTGGTTTAAGATACAGATCTTAAACATCTCAAATAGTCATGTCTGCTCTAGAGCATGACTTTCTAAATTTCTTTGCAGCCACAGAACCTCAATATGTGAACCAGAGTTTCTAAGTTAAAGATGGGCAACACTGGGTGGAACCACTTTTCATCTCTTACTCATTTACCACAAAAGCAACTGAAAGCATGCTTAGTATATTCCAGGGCCCATTCTGGGGACACCAAGGTCCTCACCTCAGGGTACCTACTTTCCCCTGAAGAGAGACGTGAACAAGCAGAGGAACAAAATAGCTTTCCCTAGTAAACACGTACATGGTGTTCACTGTTTACCAAGCAAAACACTCACACATGCATATGCACACAGAAACACACATACATTCACACACTGTTATTTTTAATGCCATGACAACCCTCTAAGGCAGGTGTACTATCATCATCTCCTACATTGAAGTGTAACTTTTAGAGTAACATGTGCTTTGAAAACAATAAAACAGGATTGTTTAGCATCAGATCAGGGACGGTCTCTCTATGGGGCTTCTGTTGGACAGAAACTCGACTGGGGTGGGGGCAGGATAAGATTATCCCTATACAAGAAGATTGATCTGTTGGAGAAAAGGAAAGGTGGTCAGGGTGGATCAGGGGTTGAACATATTACAAAAATGGATTTGTCGTGTTAGCCTCCAGGCCAGATCACGAAGGACCACATGGAGTCCTTGTAGAAAGGTAGGGTCTATTCTGGGTGAACTGGAAGCTGTTTAAAGGCTTTAAGTGGGAAACAGACATTAAAACTGGCACTGTCCAATGCAGCGGCTGCCAGCCATGGTGTCCATGAACCCCCTAAAGAGGATGGTCCAGATGAGGCATGCTGCAATATGCTAGATTTTGAAGCTCTAGGAGAAAAGAAAGATGCCTCTTTAATGATTTTTATATCACTTCCATGTTGAAATTTTAGTGCTTTGGATTTGTTGAGCTATATAAAATACATTATCAGTATTTTGCCTGTTTCTTTTTCCTCATTAAACTATGGCTACTAAAATAAAAATGACCCAGGCGGCTCTCATTCAGGGCGGCATTTCATTTTACATGCATGGGACTGATCTGGGCTACTCTTTCCTTCCAGTGCTTTCTCTGAATTTCCCAACCTCTCCTAGCTTCCACCTTCTAAAAAGCACTCATCTTGTAGGCCAAGATGATAAGGGACACGTTTCAAATGAGAATCAGAAAAAATATTTCATTTCTGTTTACGTGTATGTGTGTGTGTTGTGTGGGTTTTTGTGTGCATGTGTGTGTGTGCATGTGTGCATGTGCGTGTTTGTGTGTGCGCGTGTGTGTGTTTGTGTGTGTGCGTGCGTGTGTTTGTGTGTGTGCATGTGTGTGTGTGTGCGTGTGCGTGTGTGTGTGTGTGTGTGTGTACAGAGGCCAGAAGAAGTGTGTGTGTGTGCGTGTGTGTGTGTATGTGTGTGTGTGTGTGTGTGTGTACAGAGGCCAGAAAAGGGTGTCACATCCCATGGAGCTACGCTTATGAGTAGTTGTGACCTGCCCAGTGTGGCTGCTGGGAATGGAATCTGGTTCTCTGCACGAGCAGCAGGAATTCTTCATGGCTGAGTCATCTCTCCAGTTCCCAAGATGAGATTTCATAAAACAATACAGAGGCTCCAAGCTTTGACATGCCTGAGTTTATTTATACAGACAACAGATCAGCATATTCAGGGCCAGAATTGGCTTAGAGATGCTGCATTCCCTGTCCTAACCATGTCCTACCCAGTCTACCACCTGTTAAGCAACTACTTAGTGATGGACGAGCCTCCGTGCTTTCTGTCTGCTCCTCCTTTGGGTAGCACTGTCTTTAGCTGTGTTCATGGTATCTTGCATCAGTACACATCAACTCCTATCTATGAAAATTCTAGCCGCCCAAAGCAAAGTGAAGCACAGATAGAATAGTAACTGAGTTAGGGAACTGCCATTAGGATTGCTGGCAGATACCTTTGGACTTCAAGAAGGAATGAAAATACATAGGAATGCATGTTTTTTCTTTTCTCACAATAGTACTGTTACCGGTTCTTAAAACACAGGGATTCATGGGAGGTGTTAAATCAGTAACCATAGTACTGCTGATGAACTTGCAAACCTGACTGGTCTCCATCTTAAACTTCTTCACTGACTTCCTATCTGATTTTTGCACACCCATTCTTGCACACCTTGAATATATTCTTTGTATGTTTATATTAAAGAGTAAAGTTTAAAAATAAAGATCAAAGGCTGGAGAGATGGTTCAGTGGTTAAGAGCATACACTGATCTTCCAAAGGACCAGAGTTTGGGTCCCAGCACCCATGTAGGGCAGCTCACAACCCTCTGTAATTCCAACTCCAGGGGACCTGACTCCCTCTTCTGGACTTGGTGGGCACCTGTATTCCTACATGTGCACACACACACACACACACACACACACACACACACACCTAAAAATTAAAAAAATTTATATAACAATAAAAATCAGTTGAATCACATTCTGCTCCATCCTTCCTAGGATCAGAGTCTACAGTGTCAGGACCACATGGCCAGCCCTCTAGTGTCTGGATGAGTCACAGACGTATTAACTTAAACCGAGCCCCTAACCAGCCTGATATAGGCAGGGAGCTATTTTTCTATGCCTTTCACAAAGGCCTTAGACAAGAGTTTCCTTTTGCCTGCACATCTTGACCCAGCCTTTACCTCATTTTACTTAACTCCTTAACTGTTTAAAATGGAGTTTCTAATTCCCTGTCAAAGACGAGTTCAGATTTAACTGTCATATATTCCTGTAGTCCCCAAACCCGTTCCTTTGTTAACCTTCCTCGGCACTGTGCGTTCACCAGTTTTTGGGTTTTTTTTGGTCTTTTAGAGAAAGGGTCTCCCTGTAGCTCCAGCTGTCATGGAACTCACTATGTATACCAGGCTGGCCTTGAACTCATAGAGATCCACCTGCCTCTGCCTCCCCAGTGCTGGACTTAAAGGCGTGTGCCACCATGCCCAGCTCATTCACCAGTTTTTAAATCGTTGCTTGTCCTTCTACTAAACTGTAGGTCTTGTGAAGTACTTGTGCACTATCTATCTGCTTTCCTTTCCAGTGTGTTCTAGCACTCAGCTCAGGCCTGTGGAGTCACTTGATTTTCTTTACATGATGAATAAGTAAGAACAGAGACCAGGTACCAGGTTAGAGAGGCTACTCACAGCCCCAGGCTCTCGTACCTGCCGGCCATGGCTTTGTAGTAGGCAAAGATCTGGTCCGCCAGCTTGTAGACAAACTGATCAAAACACAGGTTCACCTGGTGAAGAGGAAGCAGGGGAGGTCAGCGGTGCCAGACTGACTTTATAACTGAAACTTGGGCAATTGGGAGAGGGCAGCAGGGCAGTGTTGACCACAGTGTGTTCTAGGGTAATATGACAGTTTTGAAGGAAAAAAAAAAAGTGTCTGTGGCCATGCAAAAGTAAGGAGTTTGGTCCCCTGCTCTCAAAATCCTCAGTTAGCCAACAGGTCAGGTTCAAAGCTCAAAAAGGCCACAGGAACACCCCCGCCCTGCAGTGTTGAGGAATGCAACTAAAGCCCTCCCCCATATCCCCAAGTTACCCCAGTATGCCTAGTAACTGGAAGGCTTTCTTGTCTTTTCCTTGTGTTTTGTTTAACTTTGCTTTGTATAGTTGATTATGAGGAGATCCTTAGGAATATAAAAGTTTCTCCAAACTTTGCTTAAATCTGTCCAGCTTTTAATGTACAAAGTCTTGCACCTCAGTGTTTCATGATACATATGGGAGACTGAATTCTGTGGCAAACACAAGCTCACACCAGACATGGAGAATCATAACCGTGTCTTCCTTCAGTTTTCAGAGGGAAAAACGGTCTAAGGGGGAGCTTTAAAAAGACAGGACTCTGGCAGCATCAATACAGAAAAGGGATTGCTATTTGAATCTTTTCTATTTTAAGTCCTCAGCTCTGTAAGTGAGTAAAGCCTTTATTCAAAAGCTTGTGCACATATTATATGGCACCCAGCACATTATGCAGAACAAAGCCCACAGTGGGTGCTGTGCGTGGTGGGGCTTCATGCCAGGTAACTGAGGCCTCCTGGTGGGTCCTCTGACATGTATGGTCCCCAGGGGATCCTCTAGATAGGGAACCTAGAGGGTCAAGGTGGGTGTTCTCACTCAGATCCCATGTTTTCTTTCTAGAATCAGCTCTGAAGCCTTGCTGAGATGGCCCTGGTCCTGTAGTCTTTTCCAGGGTTCATGACCTGTCCCCAGAGTGGGTAAGGGGCACCATTTGTAAGCTGATGCTGCAGGTATCTCTAAGTATGCACATGAAGCCCCTTGAAGCCCCTCCCTTGTGGTGTAGTAAGATGGTGTTGAGCTGGAGCTGACCACTGGCTGGGATGTCCACTTAGACAGAATCATGTTTGATAGCCAAGTGACCATAAACATCGCTCCTCAGAATGAGTCACTGATCCCTCACTTTGTGCTAATTATTGAAGACTGGAAAAGCCCAACATCTTGGGAAAGGACTGCAGGGACAAAAGAAGGAGGTCACTTGCCTCAGCTTCGATCTCATCATACAGGAACTGCTTTTTGAACTTGGTGAGAGCATAGTAGGCGCTGTCGTTGTACAGATCCAAGGGGTAAAGGACATACCTGTAGAGGAACACAAGAGCCATGGGGGGCAAGTTACACGATAAGTGGGCGAGAAGATGGACAGCTCAGAGTTAGAGACAACTTTCTGCCTTCCCTTGTCCTCCAGGGCCTCCATTTAGGAAAGACTTGCTCCATAGTCTGCCTACAGACATCAGAAGTCAATGATGCTAATAAGTGCTAATGCCCCCCCCCCCGAAAACCTTAGCCAGAGTGACAGCCTACTGGTCCCCAGAGATGTTCACTTCCCAAGCATAGCTGTTGTGAGATGGCCAAAGACAGGGAGGGCAGGCGGGCTGGGGCCTTTCTGAGTCTATCTGTGAGGCTGAGGAAAATGACCACGGTGGCCCCAGTCTAAGTTTTGCCCCCGTGGGGTTCAGTGTTTCATTTCTTGTTCAGCCCTTTCTTCAGGAAAGAAAAGAGCTTGCTGGCAAGCCATCCTACTACCACACCCCAGGAACTTCCCAGTTGCCCCAATCCTGCCTCTTACTCCATCATCGAAGGTTCTTTGGTTTCCAGAATATGGTCTGTTAGAATCCAGGGCATGGACATCTCAATGGGGAACTGGATTCGCCGGCCCATGGTTAACTCCAGGAAGAATTCTCGGAACCAGAGCTGGGAGAGGTCACAACACTGCTGCAGCGCTTCTGGAAGCACAGGGAAAGAGCCTTGGTGTAATAAACGCACCTTAGCCTTGAGGTCTCTACTGACTGTCTCCATGCTAGGAGCATCTCGGCCTTGAGGTCTCTACTGTCTCCCTGCTAAGAGCATCTCAGCCTTGAGGTCTCTACTGACTGTCTCCATGCTAGGAGCATCTCGGCCTCACTGTCTCTACTATCTACATGCTAGGTATATGGCAGGTGCACCACACATAGCCCTTCATTGATCTTGTTCTCTTGTGCCTGAAGCCAGCTTAGCAGCATCTTATGATAAATAGGATCTGTCAGCTTCTGAGGCAGGGGGACAAAGTATGGCAGTGGTGGTGGTGGTGGTGATGTTTCAGAACATTGGCTATCCCCCCATTTCCATGTTTGTGCATGTGAGTACAGTGCCCAAGGGGGACAGAGAGGAGTCAAATCCTCTGGAGCTAGAGTTACAGGCCTCAGAGAGTCACCCAGGAACCACACTCAGGTTTTCTGCAAGAGTAGCAAGTGCTTTTAATCACCGAGCCATCTCTCCAGCCGCTTTGGACTGTTTCTTATGGATGTACTGAGGGTCCCATGCCCCTGGGATCCTAGTTGCCTCTACTCTGCCGCATCTAACATGCATCTCACTAAGAGCAGAGGAGGAATGGAGGGTGTGGGGCTGAGGCACAGCCTGGTGCCTCCCCTTCTAGGAGCTGTGGGCACCACAGAGTTTGGACTGTGTGCTACCGAGCCACAGAAGGCTGATCTGGTGGTGCTGGGCTATATGTGTGCATTCCTGCCTTGATTCCCTCTTGCCTTGATTGCCAAATTCAGCTGAGTGAGAGTGGTGCCCAGGGCCTGGCCTTTCCTACCCCCCAAAACCAACCAGAAAGGGTGTGGGATTTTCTTGTTGCTTTTTAAAAAATACTTTTGCTCTCGGGGGCAAAATGTGCCCCTTGTGGTCCATGGTCCCATCTCTTTGCAACTTCTAGCCCAAGGCCTTGGTTGCCCTAGGAGAGGGACACGTCCACCTCTCTTGGTAAGGTTGGGGCCCTATGGCTCACCGCTGATGTTGAGCAGATGTGTGAAGAAGAAGGACTGCTTGTGGAAGTCCTCGATGGCAAGCACGATGGGTCCATCCAGACTGCTTCGCAGGGTCTTCTTGGAGCCACTTTTGTCTGCGATGAGTGATTCAAGCATGGTACGCACCATGTACAGCTTGAAAAGGAAGTGAGAGCTGGTCAGGGGTGGCCTCCACACTGCAGAGAAAGTATTCTTCCTTCCTTCCTTCCTTCCTTCCTTCCTTCCTTCCTTCCTTCCTTCCTCTCTCTTTTTTCTGCTCTTAAAGAGAACTGTCTTAAGGAAGCACCAGCTTAGGTGGAGAAGTGAATTTAGAACAAGGTAAACTTTTTCTTCCTGCCTTCTTTTTTTCTTTCTTGCTATGCCAGGGATTAAACCCAGCACAGGCTAGGCAAGCATTTTACCACTGAGCTAACCCTCCACCCTTGTGACAACCTCTAAGACTGACCAGTTTTGGAAAGAAGTTCTCTGCCTACGGCCCATGGCACCCCCAGGTGGACCTTATAACAGCAGGTAGTTAAGGCCTGTGGGAGGTTCCTGCCTGACCTGCTAAGGCAAGGGAGTGGGCATCCAAGGAGAGCCGAGTTCTATGTCACTCTACAGTCACTCCCTGCTTTCCCAGATGACCATGGTAACAACATGGATGGAGCACTGAACTAAGAGTCAAAAGAGCCAGGTTCAAGGCTAGGTACTACCACTGACTTGCTGTGTGACCTTAGACAATAAAGCCCCCACTCTGAGCTCCAGTTGCCTTATCTAACATGCATAACTGGACAGATGAGTCTCCTTCAGCTTTAACATTCTGAGGAGTTGTGCAATGGAATAAGCTCAAAACAAGTCCTCCCAACCACTTCGTTTCTGATCCTCGGTTCTGAATCTATCAATGAATGATGGCGCCCTCTGGTGGCCTGGATTGCATTGCATAGCCTGCCAGAGATTTGGGGTGGATGGTGGGTTAACATCCGTACTTACACAGGAGGCTACTAGAGTTAACTCCTGCTTACAGAGTGCCCTACATGCAAAGGGCACAAGTGCAGTAGGGTTGTTCTTTCTGCTAATCTAGATCTTTCCACACCATTTGTCTTTGAATGTGAGGGCTGGAAAGGGCCTTGAAGAGCCAGGCTAGTCCGTTCCTGCTGCCTCCTGCAGTAGGCACCCAAACCAACCCAGCCAGGCGGTGTTATACCAGGGATCGGCAGCCTCTTCGGCCCTGTGTGCCACCAGTGGGGTGAAACAAAGCCCTCGGGGACCACTGGCAGGCCTAAGACATAGATAGGAGAGAGGGCAGAGGGAACGGGAGGGCAGGAGAGACAGGGAGGAGGGAGAGAGAGAAAGAGAGAGAGAGAGAAAAGCGAGAGGTATTGTATACAGTGGGAAAGAGCCACAACTGCTGGGGTCACCTCTGACACACTCCGACCTCCCACAACCGCACTCCTCTCTGCTGGATGGGCCCTGAGGTCTCACCCACCACGGGCCTGGCAATCTCAGAACTGCATGCCATGCTGCCCTACATGGGATCCCCTCTGTGGGGAAGGGACCACAGCTGCTGTTCCCAAGATAGTCCACCCCCTGCGAGCTTATCAGTAGGCCTTTCTCATTTTCCCTGAGCATCAAAATGCTGTGCTAATGACCACCCTGGAGTCCTCAGAGAGAGAATTCAGGTCCAGTCTGCTGTGGCCACTGGAGTCACATGCAGTTCTAACTATCAGAAAAGTGGGTTCATTCAGACAGGGTCAATTCTTTACTCAACTACATTAATTTAATAGGATATCTAATTCACCGGGATAGTCTACAGCCCAACTCTGTGAGATGCCCACATCTACTGTGTTTTGAAGGCGGCAGTGGCGCCCGTGGGGGGGGGGGGGGTCAGGAGACCCGGGTTCTTGCCCCGCCTCTGCCTGACACTCATCTTGTGACTTGGACAAGTCACTTCTCCTTTCTGGACCTCAGTTTCCCCATATCTTAAATAGAGGGAGGGACTGGGGCATGTTTACCTCTCAGAGCTCTTCCAGCTAAAGCTGTCTAGGAGTCAAATAAATGTCTGTGCTACCCAAACTGCCTGAGTGGTGCATGGGGTGAGCTGCTCCTTTTTCATTTCCTATACCTTCCTCTCCTGTCCCCCCATTTACAGCACTTTTCCCAGTTCCTCTTGTTCCCTCACTTATCTCTCAATAGTTACAGAAACCCCTGAAAGCCATTCAGCCCCACCAGGGCGGACACTCTGAACCAGAACGCTCCCTGACCCTCAGGTATTTCACACTTTTTAGAGGCTTCCTTGGGATGTCCCACAAAGAGTGGGCAAGACTGATGCACGCTGGCTGGAAACTGGGAAGCCAAGGAAGGGATGAGCACTGTGCTGAGCACTCACCTGCCCCTGCTCAGCCCCAGCCCCACCAAGACACGGACACACACACAAGGAGGGGTCGAGAGCACCTCAGATGGCCCACCTCAGGTGACTCAGAACAGAGAGAGGCTTAAAGGTCCTGTAAAGAGGAGCATCCAGGTTGGGACTTCTGCGGTGTGCAAGATTCTGAAGGTTACAGTAAGACCCATCCGCTTTTTGAATACCACAAAGAACAGACAAGGAACTATTTAGTTCTACGTAGGCAACAAGAACTAACTCTGTTGTCCAGATTATTTACTCTTTTTCCTGTATAATTTAGTGACGGTACTAGATAAACCCAGGCAATAGCAGAAGTTCCAGCTGGGAACTCAGAGTATTTCTGACCATTAGACTTTCTCCAAGAGATTAAGGGCTTGAAAAACTTGTGGGTTTTCTTTGGGGGAAGGGGTATAGAAAGTAGAAAAGCAGTGTTTTGTTGGTAACAGGATCTCACTGGAAGTGTTTGTTTTCAGAAGACAATTAGAGCTGAGAGAGGTCAGGTGCTTGCCCAGCAAGCCAGGGGCAGAACTTGGGAATTTCCATGTTAGGATGCCACTGTGGGCAAATGGGCTGTAGTTTATTAAAATGAGATAGACAGAGGCATGTAGATTCCACTTTAGACCCCTCCTGTACTTTAAAATAAGAGTTTTACAGGGCTAGGACATAGTTAAGTAGACAGATGAAGTGCCACCACTATTGGTCAGATTAGACAACTGAGGCACAGAGAGACTGTGTAACATGCCCAAGGTCACACAGGTGTCTAGGACTAGAACCCAGGTCTCCTGAATCTTAGGTGAATAGTCTTCCTTTCTATACGAAAACAAGGTATCAGGAGAAACCAGAGCAGCTGCTTGACCTTACCCCTCCTCACCAGGGATCCCCACCATCCCACAGTCCAGCCAAATCCTCTTTCCATGGCCCAGCTGGCCTGGAATCAGAGTAGCCAGACTGCACTGGAGCTGCTTACCTGTGTGCTAGACGGCCCCACAGCACGCCGGGGTACTTTGATGTCAAAGCCGCCTTTAGGATCCTTCTCCCCTCTTAAGCATGGGTCATTAGGGGGCTCTCGGCCTCCTTCCCAGTCACAGATGGTCTTGCGAATTGCCTGCAGGACACTGAGGAAGAAGTGTGGGGACTCAGCCAAGGTGTTTGCAAGCCTGTGCTTCCAGGTCCCACAGGGTCTCAGGACCTCCTGCATCGGAATTTGGAGTGCATGGGCTGCAAACTCATTCCCAGCCCTCCCCAGGGATGTTGTTTAACAGTGTTAAGGTGCATTTAATGAGTAGCCCACATGGCTCGGATGCCTACCGAATGTCTGAGAACTCAGCTGCAGGCCACACAGAGGACAGGAAGACAGGACTGGGGATGAGGGAGGGGAAGGAGGGAGCTACAGGAGAGTCCTGTTAGTTTCTTTAACCCTGTGAGTACAGTTTTTTTTCTTTCAGAAAGCTTTTTGTTATTTGTGAGAATTACATACATGATACTGTAGCTGTGTCATTTCTACCCTTCCCAGGTCCCTTCCACCTTCTCCCATGCCCTGTCCCCGACTCCCTCTCAATTTCTTGTCCTCTCCTTTGATTATTATTGTTACATACAGATACATACATACATTTCTAAATAAACACATATGTATAATGTACCAAGTCCATTTATTGGTGTTTGTATGTACCTGTGTCTAGGGCTGCCTATGTGGGATTAGCTATCCTCTTGTGGACTAGTCCCTAGACAAAACTGATTCATATTCTCTCTCTCTCTCTCTCTCTCTCTCTCTCTCGACCCATTCATCTTGCCATGGGATCCTGTGAAATCTCCCCATCTTCCTTGGCATGTCAACTGATTATGTCATTATGCATATGAATAAAGTTTTAAAAAACAGCTTATACCTGCGCCTACTCCGTGCTACATGTGCTGAAGGTCTACAAGAGAATTATCTTATTTTATCAACTCACGGCCATGGGGATAGTGGGTACCATGAGCCTCATTTTACGAACGAGGAACTGACGAAGTTCACTCAAGAGAGTAGTAGATTTGGCTTAACCTTGAGTGTTAAGTGAGATGAACCCTTGGTTCATCACAAATGTTCATCTGTCAGGAGGGTCTGTGTGTGTTCTGAGGTTGACCTGGAAGCTGGCCGTGCCCAGAGTCCCCCTCCACCAGCACCCAGCATGCCTTAATTCTGTGGTCCTCACCTGATTAAGGGAGAAAATCTGCTAGTGGTCCAATCCCAAATTTGAAGCCTAATAACCACAATAATAACAGGAGCAACAAACAGTATCTGTGTAGTAGTTGCATTTTTATCTCAAGGGTGATCCACAGTTTTCTAATCGGATTTAAAAAACCATTCGGTGGGCTGGAAATCATATGTGGCACTGTAAACATAGCCAAATACACATGATTTGAGGGGTCATAAATCCAAAGAAAATTCCAAGTCTGTTATATTCCTAGAGAAACATAATTTCTTTCTATACATTAAATAAGGATTCTAATATTTACTGACAAGCATGCCAGTCACCACTCATCAAAGCAGCTTCTTTTAAAACCGATGGAGACTATTACAGAGTTCCACAGCTGGTCTCACACAGAAAGTGTCTGTGAGATGCCCAACCCTAAGTGACACATCTACAATGCAACCTCTACACCTAAGGCCCACGGAACATCATGGAACATGGGGGTAGACAGAATACGAATGCATCTCTCAACTCTCATCAGCGAAGTGTCCTCATGTAACAGAGGGTGATGAACACAAAAACCCACAACTGGCTAAAGTTTAGAGAATAAGAGTTTGAAGAGTGTGGGTCCCTGACCACGAGCACCGAGCACCGGGCTGAAGCACAGCGGGCCCAGTGCCAGGGAGGCCCTAGTGTGTATGCGCACGACGGAAAGCTGCTGGGAAGAATGGTGGATGATGGGCTTATGCTTGAGGCCTGTTTCTTCCTCTAAAACTTAAAGGAAATCAAACAAAATACAAACAAAACAAAAACATTAGAGGTAGGGGAAAGGAACAGCATGAGAAGCCAGGTCAGGAGGTAAGGATTATCACCAGAACCAAAGAGTATAATGTTTTTGTTGGCAATAAGCTTTTGAGAAGACAAGATCAAGAGAGAAGTGTTCAAGGGCAGTTAGATCCTAAAAGTACCTGGGCTCCTGGGCTCCTGGCCAGAGCAGTAATGAGAAAAACATGGAGACAAAGGGTTAGATAATGAAGGTTTCAGAATAATTCCAAACACAGTGTGCAAGGCTGTTGGATATAAGGGAAAATCTTTGAGACTTAGGCTAGGTAAAGTTTCTTAGCTAGAATTCCCAAATCACAAACTGCATAATAGTAAAATTAATATATTTGATTCCATCAAAATATATGACCATTGTTCATCAAAAGGCATAGTCAAGAAAACAAAAAGTCAAAGTCCCTGATGAGAGAGGCTACTTGTGACACATATGTGATGGAAGTCTTGTGTCCAGAATGTGGAGCGAGTTCTCACAGTTCAGTAATAAGAAGGCAGGAATCTAACCTTTAAAAATGGGCACTGGGGGGCTAAGAGAGATGACTCAGCGGTTAAGAGCACTGTCTACTCCTGCAGAGAGCGAGGGCTTGATTCCAGCATCTACATGGCAGCTAACGACCGCCAGTATCTCCAGTTCCAGGGGATCCGACGCCCTTTTCTGACCTCTGTGGGCATGGCACTTTACGTACATGAAAGCAATACACTTATACACATAAAATTTTTTTTAAATTTAAAAATAAAAATGGGCAACAATTTCAACAGAGAACACTTTGCAAGGAAAGATATATACATGGCTAATAAGCCCTCAAAAAGATACTTGATATCATTAATCCTCAGAAAAATGAACATTATAGCCTCAGTGAGATTCACCTACATACCATTAAATGTTGAAAATTATTAAGAGGGCCACTGCCAAGGCCAGCGGGTGTGGAACAATGGAACTCTTACATAGAGCTGGTGAAAACGTGAAATGCTACATCCCCTTGTATCACTGTTTGGCACTTTCTCCCATCCAAATACTAACCAGGACTGCCTTGCTTAGCTTCCGTGATCAGGCATGTTCAGGGAAGCATGGCTGTAGACTGGCATTTTCTTACAAAGGGAAAAAAAAGCATCTACGATGTGAGTGTTCAAGTAAAAGTTAAAACTTAGCCAGGCTTGATAGAGAAGGCCTATAATCCCAAGACCTGCCTTGGCTATAGAATAAGTTCAAGGTCAGCCTGGGCAATTTAGTGAGAGAGACTCTATCTAAAAAAGGGGGGTGGGGATGAGGTGCACCTGAGTAGTAGACTATTTTCCTAGCTTGTGCAAGGTCCTTGGTTTAACCTCCAGTTCTGCAAAACAAACAAACAAACAAACAAAAACAACAAGCAAATAAAAAAGACGTGCCCACACAGACTTATAGTTAAGTATCTGAAGCAATTTTATTCATCTTCGTCAAAAGCTGTCAAAAACCCAGTGCTTATCAGTAATTGAATAGACATAGTACATTACACCTACATAATGGAGTGACAGTAAGATGAAGAAACTGTTGTTACATAGCACAATATGGACAAATTTCAGTTACTATGCTGAGTGGATGCAGCCAACCCCCAGAAGTGCATACTGTAATGAAGGCAGTCAAATAAAACTCAAGAAACAAACAAATCTGTGGTGACAAAAACCAAGCCCAGGTTCCATGGCTGAAGGGAGGGTGAGTTACAAAGCAGCCTGATTCTTTAGGGAGGATGGAATGTTCCATATCTTGTTTATCTGTATGGTTTCAGGTGCCCAAAAGTTTCAAAACGCTGTGGATCACCCACCTTATATGGATGTAGTTTATTGAACATAAATATGCCTCAAAGCTAATTACAGAAAACTCTAAGATCCTCAAGGAGATGTTACATTCATGACATAAAACTCAGGAACTATGAGAGAGATGATGAAAAAATATCACAGCCAAAACTTTAAATTCTAACAGAGGCAAAAGTTGAAGCAAGCCGAGAATGAGTGAGGTGTGGTAAGGAAGAAATAGAGACTAGATCCTGGGTGCACAGACAGTCAACTAGAAAGACAGAGGAGAGATGACAGAGAGGAGGAGACTGCCAAAACTACAAGGGCATATCCTAGTCCTAAAAGACATGTTTCCACCCCACAATGGCAGAGTTAGCATCCAGAACAGTGAAAACAAAAGCCCTCATCAAAACCTTACAGTGAAAGTTCAGAAAAACAGGGACAGAGAGATGGACACACAGAATTCTACAGAGGAAAAAGGAAAGAAGGTAGAAGATTCACATTTCAAAACCCTCTGTACAACCAGAGCAATCAAAGCAGGTGTCATGACATAAGGGCATTTGTATAGATGATAGAAAAGTCCTGCAATGAACTCTTACCGTTCTGCTTGCTTGATGTTGACAGGGTACCATAGTAATGCCATTTAATGGAGGAAAAAAAATACTCTTTTCAGCTGATGGTACTGGGACAACAGATGTCCACATGCAGAAGAATGAAATTGGACCCTAAATTCACGTGATACACATACATACATGCAGGCAAAATATTCATACACAGAAAAATTAAAAAAAATTTTAAAAAGAGAAAATTTGGAATTAAAAAAAAAAAAAAGAAACTCTTGGAAAGACAGGAGCAGATCTTTGTGACCCTAGCAAGGCAACAGCTTCTTTGTTAGGACAAAGGAAACTTCAGCAAAATTAGACTTTGTGTCAAAACATGTCATCTACAAGTCAAAAAGACAATCGGGGGCTGGAGAGGTGGCTCAGCAGTTGAGAATGCTGGCTGTTCTTGCAGAAGACCCGGGTTCAAATCCCAGCACCTACATGGCAGCTAACAGCTGTCCATAACTCCAGTTCCAGGGGATCCGACAGCTTCTTCGGTCTTCCATGGGCATTGCACTTACATACATGTAGGCGATATATGTATACATATAAACAAATAATAAAAAATTTTAAAGACAATCTATAGAATGGGAGAGAATTTTAGTCTGTGTATGTGAGTGTGTGTGCATGTGCATGTGTGTGGTGTATGTGCATGAGTGTGTGGGTTCATGTGCCCATGGATACAAATGTGGAAGCCAGATGGGGACATCTGGGGTCCTGTTATGTCCCTCTCCATCTTCCTCCCTTGAGGTAGGCTCTCATGGAACCTGGAACTGGGCTGGCCACAGCAATCCTCCTGTCCCCACAGTGCTGGGGTTACAGGCGTATGACAGCCACATACAGCTTTTTATGTAGGTGCTG